TAAGGAAATATTTTTTCATAAAATAGCACATCTCTGGATATTAAAAAAGATTTATTATGTAAATTGAAAAGAAGGAAACCTTTAGTACCATTTTTGTAGCCCAGAAAAATGCATTTAGATGCACGACGATCAAGTTTGGTTCTCTTGGAAGACAAGGTGGTTGCAAAAGCCAAGCAACCAAAGACCTTGAGCTCAGTGAGATCAGGTTTGCAATTATAAATCATCTCAAAGGGTGATTTTTGAGATAATAAGGGAGTTGGCAATCGATTAATAATGTGAATAGCTTGTTTAACAGCAAATGACCAAATTTTTTTTGGAAGTTTAGCTTGAAAAAATAATGCACGACATACATTTAGAATGTGTTGATGCTTACGTTCAACAATTCCATTTTGTTGTGGTCGTTCAACACACGAAGTTTCATGTAAAATACCTTTAGTTTGAAAAAAATCATGAAGATAAAATTCTTTGCCATTGTCAGAACGCAACCATTTTAAATGAACATCAAACTGTTTTTCAATTAGAGTAATAAAAGAGGGAAGTATGGCTTTTACTTCAGATTTAGTTTTTAATATATGAGTCCAAGTGAAACGGCTGTAATCATTAACAACAGTTAAAAAATATTTGTATCCTTAAAAAGAACTAACATTTAAAGGACCCCAGATATCAACATGTATTAGTTCAAAAAATCTAGAAGATGTAGTATGACTGTTTGAAAAGGATAAATTCTTTTGCTTAGAGTAATGACAAACATCACAAACTTCAAATTTATGAAAAGGAATTGCAGAATATTGAGAACAGATTTGTTGCATTACTTTATTGGGGACATGACCAAGCTTGGAATGCCACAACATAGAATCATTTAGAGTACTATTATTAATAGCATTTTTATACAATGTGTCATGAACAGTGTTATTAATAGTGGAAAAACATTGATTGAAAAAAGGATGGATATCAAGTAAAGTAGATGCAGTCAAGTCATGTTCAACAGAGTTCAAAAGATAAAAGAGGCCTTGCTTCTTCTTAGCTACACCAATCGTCTTCGACGTGGATTTCTGCACAATGTGACAATTGGTGTCGCAAAAGAGTATCAGACAATCAGAAGAAGTAAGCCTGGGAATAGAAATTAAATGCATTGCAAAATGAGGTACATAAAATGTATTGGGCAAAACCAAGTCACCTAATCTAACAATACCAGAGAATTTTTCTAAAACCGTGGTGTGATTAGGAAGAGAAATAGAGACAGGTTTAATAGGATTAAGAGAGTCAAATAGGTGTTGAGAAGGACAGATGTGGTCAATAGCACCACTATCAAGCACCCATAAAGAAGAAGAAAAGGGTGTACCTGGTGAGGAATTTTTAGGATTTTGTTGAACGTGATTCACATAGTGAGGAACATCCTTGTTGTGTTGAATGAGAGCCAAAAAAGCATGATATTGCTCTTTTGAAAGAGTAAACTGAGTTTGATTAGAACTTTCTTCTGAAGTAGCAAACCGAGAGGCTGTGTCTGAATCAACCTTAGTCAAATTGGCAAAAGCCTTTGAAGTGAAGTTGCTTTTGTCTCTGTTTCTATACCCAACAGGATATCCATAAATTTCAAAACAAGAATCAATTATGTGATTAGTCTTCTTGCATTTTGCACAAAAGTGATTACCTCTACCATTTCCTCTACCAAAATGACCACCACCACGATTATTTGAAGAACCACCACCACGATTATTTGAAGAACCACCACGCTCAAAGGAAGAAGGTTTCATGGAAGCATCAGTTAATGCAACAAATGATGTAGAGTCAGTAGAGGGGGAAAGTAAGGAAGTTCCACCAATTTCGCGTTCATGCTGTTGAATTAGAGAAAAAGTCTTGGTAATGGAGGGCATAGGATCCATCATTAAGATGTTGGAATGAACCTGAGAGTACTCCTCATTGAGACCACGCAAAAATTTAATCACACAATCATCTTCACGTTCCTTTTTGATTTTCAACAAGATACCACAGGAACATGGATTATCACAAGAACAGATCAAGACAGAGCGATATTGCTTGAGTTGCTTCCAAAGAGTCTTTAAATGAGTATAGTATTGAGAAACGGTGGAATCACCTTGTTTACACTCGTGAACGAAAGCTTGAAGATCGGAGATGCGAAACTTATCACCATGAGAGAAACGCTCACATAGGTCCTTCCAAATCTCCGCTGCAGTATCCATGTAAAGAACGGATTGGGAAATAGAAGGTGTCATAGATCGAATCAACCAAGACATGACAGTTTTGTTGCAGCGCCGCCACGTATTGCGAAGAGGATCGGAGGTTGGAGGAGAAGGAAGCGAACCATCAATGAACTGCTCCTTGTTCTTTGATTCGAGTGCGGTAAGCATATTCCGCGACCAGGCATGAAAATTATGTTCTGTTAGAAGAGGTGTAACAAGAACAAGAGAGGGATTCTCATTAGAATGAAGAAACAAAGGATTTGATGGATTCACTAGATGATCGGCAAGGACAGGTGGAGTTGAATTGGAATTTGGGGTTGCCATGATTGAATGAAAGTCAAGAGACACAATGAATTTCTGAAAGGGAATCTTTGAAAACCTAGGGTTCTTGGACGAATTTCTCACCGCACCATGTGAGAGGATGAAGCCAAGCAGAAAAGCATATTTTGATTATCATTGAATTCTATTCTCCTGGTGCATCAGTAATACAAAGTAGTATATATATTTACAAATAGTAGATAACCATCAGTAACAAATCTGTAACTGCCTATTTATGGTTAATGACTAACAATATTGTAATTATCTAATTATGGTTATAAAGATAAAAAAATATTGATCCTTAATAGAAGAGAAACCAAACACACTTGAAACTTACCTAATGTGAAACACAAGTGAATTATATTCCATTTTTGTGTCAAAATAGTGGATACATTATTTATTGCACCATAATGTGTATTACTAGTTCGAATTCAGATATACTTTTAAGTGTTGTTTAAAACTATAATCTAATTCAGATACTCTGAAATCTATGTCAACATTCTGTTCTAACTTATAACATGCTTGCACTATATCTCAAATGCTATATTAATATTAATGTCAATCTACTAAATCAACAAAATATAAATCTTTCGATTCAATCTGTTTCTCAATATCGGACATGAACAAACACTTTGCCTTAAACTCACCGCTGCATACATTCTTTATGGAATAGGTTTCCGCTGGTTTTGAGGCTGAATCGTTAGCTTGACGGGGTGAGGTTTTTGACAGTGTACAACTTTGACAAGGTAGTCTCTATCTTCTTTTTTGATTCAGATCAAGCTTTGCCAAATTCTATGATTTCTGTTTCGTGTTCAAATTTTTGAGAATTTATTTTGAGAGAGAACTGAAATTTGTTTTTAAGTATGTAGCAAATGTGATCGAGTTCAATGATTTATTTGGTGTGGTTCAATAATTATCATGATCTTAGACATAGCTAGTTTATTGACAGGGAGGCATTTTACTTTTAATTAAACTTTAAACACTAATAACTAGATAGGGTGTCAAGATCTAAAGGGCAAGCACACAGCAAAACAAGACAAATCTCGATAGTTAAATCAATTTTACGCAAAATAGTGTAATAAACCCAGGAGGTGGACAGAATAGGATGAATCACTTCTCTCACTTATCTTAATTGAGATCATTTAACTTAATAAGTATACATGTCATTTAATTCAATTGAGGTCATTCAATTAAAAAAAAAAGATAAATATAATTTTGGTTCACATAATTTACTATTTTTTCATTTTTGATCCCTGTATTTTTTTAGTTGTTTCATGTTTAATATTTTATAACATTTAAAAAATAGTTCTTACTGTCAATTACTGTAAATAAACCCTAAATGACAAACGAAATACATATTACATTTATTATATTTAATTTCACTATTATCAAGTAGGTAAATTAATTTTAAATTTGTTTAAACAATTTTAGAAAGCATTTCATTTCACCACACTCAAACCCTCACGGCCTCACCCACATTTTCTCTCTTCCATCCAAATTCGACATTACAAATCCTAAACCTCATAATTCAAACCTCAATTGTCTAATGAAGAATTTCTCATAATCTATGTTCACTACAAAAAAATCAAGTTCTAGCTACCACCAAAATCGGTCGCTATTTAGGTTATTTCAGTCGCTGTTACGATCAGTGACCGAAATAGCGACCGAAAAAATCCGTCGCTAAAACCTTGGTCGCTGTTGATAATAGCGACCAAAATTTTTTTTATCGCAAAGTAGCGACCGAAAAAATCCGTCACTATACATTCATAATCCGTCGCTAAAATATTGGTCTCCTAACTTCTGAGACCAATTTAGCGACTGAATTTTTTGGTCACAATTTCCGTCGCTAAATTTTTTTATTTATTTTAAAAAAGATTTTTAAAATCCGTTGCTAAATCAGTAGCAAAAAAATCTGAATAGCTACGAATAAATTCTGTCGCTATTTCGGTCGCTAAAAACTTGAATTAGCTACGAATTCTTTTAGTCGCTATTTCGGTCGCTAATAACTTAAATTAGCTATGAATTATTTCGGTCGCTATTTCAGTCGCTAAAAACTTGAATTAGCTACGAATTATTTCGGTCGCTATTTTGGTCGCAAAAATCTTATATTAGCTATGAATTATCTCGTTCGCTACTTTGGTCGCTAAAAACTTGAATTACCTACGAATTATTTTGGTCGCTATTTTGGTCGCTAATGCTAACCAGTATTTTTAAATTCTTTTTAAATTATAAATTTATACCTGTTAACAAATATAAAATTAACAATATATTTATTACACAATTTATAATAATAAACTAGAACATACTAAAAGACATAATCTCATCGATGTAAATTTATATTATAGTGAAAACTAAATAAAATATAAGTATGTCAATATGGTATGCTAAAAACACAATAATAACATAAAACGTTTAAACTTCAACAAAGTAATACTGAAATACAATAAAATATCCAGAAACAAGTAAAATAAAGAAGCTTAATTAAGGATCTTCTGCTATGTCATCAAGAGCATCATCAACACCATGGTCAGGATCATCTGGGATAGTACTCGGTGGAGGAGGGGTTGGCCTTAAAGGGTCAATGTTGAAATGACGTAGTATATACTGCATCTGCTCATCATGCTGTCGTATATGTTCTTCCAATGCTTTTTCCTTTGCTTCCTTTGCAGCAAGCTCAGCATTTAATTTAGTTATCCTCTTTTGCATTTCTTCTATCACCCCTGCAGTGACTGCTGATGGTTGTGACGTAGAAGATTGTGGAAGTGTTGAGCGAATGAAATCATCGGTCAATCCAGCAAGCCCATACAAGTTCCCCTTCTTATTCTTTTTAACCACCTGCAAATAAACTTCATTATCACTAATACAAGTAGAAGCAGAGCCGTCTGTGTCATCCTGTGTAGCTTGTTGCTTGACTTCAATTAGATGCTCCTTATATTTCTCCTAAAAAAATAAAAAATATTATTTCAACAAAAATTTGAAGACAAACACACACTAAATAAGATAAAATCAGTTCAAATCTGCTTATATTGTACTCTGAATGGAGTAGCTATTATTATTATTTTAAGAATAAAATAAGGTTTATGTCTATGAGTTCCATGCCATGTATTATCACGAGGCAAGTCCAAAATCTCAGCTTCTTTCGTAAGCTAAGCCATAATTAATCTACCACTTTGTAGTTCATTATGTTCATACAGTCAGCACACCATTTACATTTTTAATTTCATACAAGCTTTATGGCATTCCTGCCTATAATATATAAAATTTACACAAGTCCCCTTTATTTTCAATTTTAAGACATGAATTTCAAATTATTGCCCATCTTCTCTAATTTTTTTTCTTCTAATGATTCCCTCCAGAAAACAAACAATTCTAATTATATTTTGTCTTGTAACTCTGTAAGTCTATTCGATGCACAAGTTTTATTTAGTTGATATAATAACTTCATTCAATTTACTCAGACAATATGGAATTTTAGGGATGCTTATATATAATGGAAAAACTTGACCAACTTTAGCCTAACAGTAGAAGCAGTTGTTAGTGGGCATTGAGCATGTACACAATTCGAATGAAATAAATTTGATTTTTTATTTCTAATAAAGACTTGAATGAAACAAAAATGTGCAATATCCTCTTCAGAACAATCTTTGGCATAAAATTGGGAAACTTTCGAAATGCTCTAAGAACCATTTCACAGTTCCAGCCCCACCTCTCATAAATCTCAAACCTTGATTCCACCACTACTTTGCTCTTAATTAGCATTTCTTCTCTTTTTTTTTAAATAATGGATTCAAGTGAACTTGTATTAAAATGTGTAATTGTTAGAAAATAATTTTAAAAGAAGACTATAAAAAACTAATCAGATTTTTAATTATTATTGCTAGGGTGATAACTATAAAGTAAAATAAACACTACATGGCCAGTGGCATGCCTAATGTGTAACTATACAACAGTCACACACATCAACAACATCACAAGACAAAATTGATCACAAACAAAAAGGAAAGTCAACAAAAATTACAGAATAAAACAGAACATGGAGAGGAACTTACAGCAATGTTGCGGGCTTTATCACTGACCCATTCTCCAGTCTTAAGTTTTTTTGTCTTTTCCACTAATTCCCAAGCAGTAGGGGGACGATTTAGCTCCTTCGCCTATATAAATTTAAATATTGCAATTCAACCAATCAATTATATGAAATTGAACTAAATATAAATAAAAAAAATGAAATAAACTTACCAATTTTTCAAAGTGGGCTCCTGCAGATATGGAGCCACCAGTGTAAGCTGTTGCTCCATTCTCTACAGCCCGATTCCCTTTAGCAGTATTACTTTTGTTTTGGAATTTTTCAGAAGCCCAATGTTGATCCAAAATAGCTCGAGCATTTTCAGGGATCCAATTTCCCTTATCGACACCTAGTCTAACCTTATGCATAGCATTTTTCAGAAGAGTTGATCCTTTATGCTCAAAAGTCTTTCTTATGGCCCGATCATGTTGTGGATCCCACTTATACTCTTTCTGCATTAAAAATGAATTAGGAAACATACTAAAAAGTACATGCAACACATTTTAAATTAAACAAAATTTAATTACCTGAAACTCTCCGAACCACATGTCCCGAACTGATTCATCCACAGCCTTCCAAGTGGGCCACGCTCCCTCAAATTTTTGTTTAAAGATCCCTGAAATGACATCAGCAGGGCCTTTTGCAAGAACAAATCTATTAAAAAAGATATTGTCAAAATCACATTTAAACAATGTTATATTAGAAAAATCATCTTTAAATTAAAATGTACGTACTCTTTGCCTTTCAAGGATAGCCAAAACCTTTGGTCAGATGAATCCCCAGACTCAGGAATGGGAGGAGGTGGGTATTGTGGAGTCAATGAACATTCTTCTGTTAAAGGTGTGTCCTGTCTAGAATGAGTATTAGGAATTGATTCGTCTACGAAGGTGGGAATTGGTTCTTCATGAACTATAGGGAGTGGGTCTCTTTGTGTGGGTAACAATGACTCGGAGCTTGAAATGTGAAGGCCAACACCACCATGACCTCGACCACGAGGTGCTTTACGACCACCACCTCTACTTCTACCTCTACCTCTATCTGCCATCTGAATGTAGAATTCTATCAAAAAAACTCACTCCACCTCTTTTTGGGGGGTTCATAGTAAAATCAAAAGCCTTAATTATGATGCAAAGAAAAGCTTGACGTGTTATTCACCTCCTTTGTCAAGGAGCAACTCAACTGGTTCAGTGCCATGTCAAAGGAGAATGAGTTTAACTAGTCAGCATTCAGCAGCTAAGCCTTTATCATCTTCAAGTTCCTCTACTTTAAATTTGTATCATGTGCAAAGGTCCCAAAAATGTAAGGGTGTTGGAGGATCTTATGCCAATTGTCTTGGGATTAGTCATGTTTTGAACCTACCAACTCCTTGTATTTCTAAAGGAAGTACTGTTGGTCTCTTCGACTGAATTTTTTTTTACATGTTGGGAAGGCAGAAGACAAAGCAAGTGACATGTTCATATTAGCTAACGTAGATTCATTAATGGTTAATCATAGCATATCAAATTCATCATCGTTTATCCTAATGGGTGACAAATGAATGTATGGGATGATTTTTTAGATTCATTATAATGGATCGGATAAAAATAATCTATTTAGCTTTATTAAAATTTTAAATAAAAATTTAATTTATTCAATTAATTTAAAGTAAAAAATTCATCTAATTCATCCATTAACAATTTTTTCATGAATGGATATTTGATTCATCCATAAAAGTATTGTTTTAAAATTAAATTATTTTTATTTTTAAAATAGTTTATTTCTATCTCTTTTCTTTTTTTTATAAATCATTACATTCTTATATAATCTTTTAAAATTTACGAGACCTTTTATTTGTGTCAATATAGTCTTTTAAAATCTCAATTCAATAAATATCTCATATCGTAATTCAATGAATTTTGAAAAAAATAATGGATGAATCACAAAGTATCCATAAAATTAAATGGATGGATTAGATCCAATCTATTATTTATTTTTATTGTAATGAAAAATTGGATAGATTTACCCATTCATCAATCAAATAGATTATGGATAAATACATTCATTTGCCACTTCTACTAACCAGAGATCTTAAAAGAAACAAGTAATGGTGGAGGTTAATTACCATGGTACTAAATGACATTAATTATGGTTATGCTAATGAGTTGGATGTGAGAAAAAAATCTGATGGCAATGTAGTTAATGAGAAGCTTTTGGCTCCTGTTTGTTTAGTTTAGCACTTGTTTATGTATGAGAAATGCTCTTTAGTTCAACAAAAAGGTTAGCTTGAATTTGAGGTCACTGATGTTGATGCTATCATTAAACCATCAAAAGACTACATTTTGGGATAATATTCATTGATATTTTGCCTTAATTTATTTTTAATTCTTTGGCAATATTTCACTTTTTTTTATTAAGTGTGCAAAAAGGGAAAAAAAACAAAATTAGGTAAAATATGTTCAGTTATGCAACCAAACCATAAAGCATGGACATCCAACTCTTGTCAAGAAAGACGACCGTGCTTACTCGCATGCATGACTGTGCTTAGCAAATAATGCACGTTTTTCTTCTATTGAAACACGACGATGTCTCTCTTAGCCATGCTATGAAGCACGACCGTGCTTACTCGCATGCATGACCATGCATGGTTGGCTAAGCACACCCTAATTGTCCAAACAGCACGCCCATGTTCCCATCTGTCTAGCATTGAACCACGCCATGAGCAAGATTGTGCTTCCTATGTGCATGATCATGCTTAAAAGTCTGCCCTTGATTTTTTTACTATAAATAGAGATTTCCAAACACATTATTTTTATCCAATTTTTATCTAATTTTCTCCAATTCTTAGTTATAGTTTCTCTTATAATTTTTTTCTCTTTTATTCGTAATTAAGGTTTTGTAAAAGGCTAAAGGCTAAACCCTTAGAGAAAGATTTTTCCTATCATAGTTAATTCTTTTACTTTATTTAATTGGTTCTATTAACATGTGTGACTAGTTCTTTCATTCTAGGGTTGTGATGTAATTGTTCCTTGAGAGCTCCCAATGATGAATTTATGAATTAATTTTGTTTATTGTCAAATTATTTTAGTATATTGTTTCTTATCTTAGTTAATTAGAAGTGCATGATCAAACTCTTGTATATAATTAACAAAAAAACTAAAATAATTGAATTATGAAAATTGGCATGATCAAGTTGGTTTCTAATTTCCAATCAAATTAATTATTTGATTCGCTTATACTCATATATGTTTTGCTTTTAGAATAAAAGTCTTATGATCAATTTCAATTTTTCTTAAGATAAAGACTATTAACTTTCTGAAACTAACAATTTCATGAATAAAAATGACAACATGACTTATTAATTTATAAATTTTTTCTTTGGGGGGATCGAGAGTAATAAGTCACAATTATAGGGGTTTACCTCTAAATCTTAATAATAAAATCTAATATTCTATTTCAATTTATAAATTAACATTCTCTCAAACAAATTTTGTTTCTCCAAACTACTAAAAACCATGATTAAGTTGATAATTGCCTGAATCTAGTCCTTTGAGTTCGATATTTAAATTTTATCCAATGTTACTACTATGATAAGGTATGCTTTCCTTAAGTAAATTTTAGACACATAAGTTTTTGGCCTCGTTGTTGAGGACTAATATCCAAGCAATATCAACTGAAAAGGGTTATGACTCATTTGAAATTTTTATATTTTGTTTTACTTGTTTTGGTTTTTGTCTAAGCTTGCTTCCTTGTGTTGTATGTTAACTTGCTCAAAGTTGCTTATTTTGCAATACGATTTTGAGATTTAAAAAATAACTAATAACAAGTTAAGGTAGGAGACAGAAGGAGTCATGGCAAATGAATGGCCCTTAAAAGAATTGTTTCTCCCAAACATTGAGGTAACTAATAGCCTTGGATGACCTACAGTAGTTTCTAACACTTTTAAGCTAAAGTCAACCCTCATATCCAAGGTCTAAAGTAGTGGTCAATTTGAGGGACAATCTATTAAAAATCAAAGACGAGCTTGATCATCTTGTATAACAATAACAGAATGAACTTACTTGAAATTTTAGAATTGACATTACAATTAGACTTAGAAGTATCTGGTGTTGACATTATAAAAATATAATTTTTATGCTCTTATAAAAAAAAAGTATATCTATGTTAACTAAATTTAATCACTTCATGAATCACAAAAAAAATATAAAATTATAAAATAATAAGTAATTTTACAAAGGGCATTATAACTTGAAAATATTAAAATAATAAATTAAATATTATCAAATATTTTTTATTTATAATTTTGTATTAATATAAAGAAATTATATAAATATTGAACATTTAAGTATTTAACTTATTTTAATATTATAATTTCATCTAAATAATAGGTTAAATTAAGAAAAGAGAATTAAAATTAAAAAAAAAAACATTTATGCAAGACTGGAATTTTGTTAGTTTAAAAATTAGAAACTAAAAATTACTACAATTCTTTTATAATTTTTTAGAGACACTAAAAGAGAATTAAAAAAATAAAAGAATTTCTAATTATTATTAATTTACATAGGAAAAAAAAATAACATTTTTTCTTACCATAGAAATAAAAAACACACATCAATTGGGACAGAGTTTTTTTTCTGAGAAAATAAATAAAATAAAATAAAATAAAATAAAAAAAAAAAACGCATCTATTATATGCATAAAATTTTGGAATGGACGTAAATCCTAAGTCCTAACTATGTTCTACCCCTCTCCAATAAAAATTGATTATATTATTAACAACGAAAGAGGCACACTTGGTAGAGAAGAAATACACAAAATAACAATAAGAAAAATAATTGAAACATATTGATCCATTATTTTTCTCTAGATTTTTGCAATTAGCACAGAAGCCACGTATTTAGGAAGAGAATGTTAGGATGTTATTTTCTCTCTTGAAGGTGGAAAAATGGTGTGGGACCAATCCCCAATTAATGTCTTTCGTTGTGCATGTGTGATAAAGAGAACCCATTGAAAAAAATATTCTTTTTTTGTGCCAAGTTCCTCCTCCTTTAATGAGAGAGAGAGAGTTGTGTCAGAAGCTCCGTGCATCAGTGAAGATGAAAAAATATATTCGAAGTTAATAACAACGAGGACCTTGAGTCTACCCCTTCAGAGACTCTATCTTTCTATCCTGCTTCCAGTGTACCTGTTCATTTAGAAGCAACCAACTCACCGTTGCATACGTTCTTTATGGAATAGGTTTCCGCTGGTTTTGAGGCTGAATCGTTAACTTGACGGGGTGAGGTTTTTGACAGTGTACAACTTTGACAAGGTAGTCTCTATCTTCTCTTTTGATTCAGATCAAGCTTTTCCAAATTCTAAGATTTCTGTTTCGTGGTTTAAATTTTTGAGAATTTATTTTGAGAGAGAACTGAGATTTGTTTTTAAGTATGTAGCAGATGTGATCGAGTTCAATGATTTATTGTGCCTTTTGGTGTGGTTCAATAATTATCATGATCTTAGACATAGCAAGTTTATTGACAGGGAGGCGTTTTACTTTTAATTAAACTTTAAACACTAATAACTAGATCGGGTGTCAAGATCTAAAGGGCAAGCAGCACACAGCAAAATAAGACAGATCTCAATAGTTAAATCAATTAAAATAGAGTGTAATAAACCAAGGAGGTGGGCAGAATGGTCCATCTAGGATGAATCACTTCTCTCACTTATCTTAATTGAGATCATTTAACTTAATAAGTATACATGTCATTTAATTCAATTGAGGTCATTCAGTTAAATAAATAAATAAATATAATTTTGGTCCACATAATTTACTATTTTTTCATTTTTGATCCCTGTATTTTTTTTAATTGTTTCATGTTTAATATTTTATAACATTTAAAAAATAGTTCTTACTATCAATTACCGTAAATAAATCTTAAAAGACAAATAAAATACATATTATATTTATTATATTTAATTTCACTATTATCAAGTAAATAAATAAATTTTAAATTTTTTTAAATAATTTTAAAATACATTTCATTTCACCACACTCAAACCCTTACCTTTATAATTATGTTTTCTCTCTTCCATTCAAATTCGACATTACAAATCCTAAACCTGATAATTCAAATCTCAATTGTCCAATGAAAAATTTCTCATAATCTATGTTTTCAATAATATCATCAAGTTCGTCCTCCACAATTATAATATCAACAATATTGTTAAATTTATCCTCAACAATCATAATAGTTAAATTAATTTTATGCAAAACAGAGTGTAATAAGCTCAAGAAATGGGTGCACAATGACCCAACTAAAATGAATCACTTCTCTCATCTATCTTAAGTATACATGTCTTTTAACTTAATTGAGACTATTCAGTTAAAAAAAATTAAAATATACCTTTGCTCCATTTTTTAGTTAGAAAATCTTCTGAGTGAGTCAGAGTCTCAGCTCTTATCAGGAGTAACATTTTAATTATAAGGTGTAATTAATTTATTTTGATGTCTGTTTCTTTTTGTTTTCAACATATTAAAAGTAAAAAACAGTATATATCATGGTGTAATGAAGTGGCCTCATCGTATTAACAAAGGGGCAGTGACTCTTTCCTCAACCTCAACTGTGTGTCAGTGTGGGTGTTTTTTCCCTTTCACCTCTAATATTCAATCTTCTAACCACTCATTCATTCACTATGTTTTTCCATAATTGCAGGCGATGGACAGTGACACTGACACAGATTTGGATACATGGCAAGACGCAACAATGGTATTGTTGGCTTCCATATACAACAATGATTGTCAGCCACACAGCATTCCCATTGTTCCGGAGGAACTTGGGAAATGGAGCGAGAAGGAGTACGAGCCAAAGGTGGTGTCGATCGGGCCCCGGTTCAAGGGAAGAAAGGAACTTCTACCAATGGAAGACATCAAGTTGCGTTGCTTGGTGCACCTTTTTAAGAGAACAGGAAGCATTTCTCACCAATGGAAGGCAATTCTAAATTGCTGTATGAGACGCATCTTGACGTTAGACGCAACTGTTCGCACTAGCTATGGGGAACAAATCGATTTGGACAACTACGGTCTAGCCACCATTATGTTACACGACGCTTGCTTTCTCTTAGAGCTTTTCATTTCTCAATCAGTGGAATGAAATTCAAGGCTACAACCCAACACGGACACACTCCCTCCTAGCCCAGCAGCTCAACTCGGGAATATCGAACTCATCTTGAGCGATCTCACCTTATTAGAAAACCAGATACCCTTTTTTGTTCTTTTTAACGTCTTCGGTATGTTTTTTCCCCGTCTCGTTCCTGATGACAAACCGTTTCGCTCCAAGATTTACATTAGTATTACACAAGATTTGGCGCTCTCTCTTTTGGGCTACTCTCGTGATTCAAGTTCTACCTCTATTCCCGATCCCATTGATGCCTCTCACATTCTTCAACTTGTTCACTCCTTCATTCTCAATCCCCAAAGCCACCATGGTTCATGTGTTATTGATATTGAAGTTAATGTTAATAAACAAATAGAACCCAAATTTTGTGCCACTAGGCTCTTAGCCGCCGCTGGGGTTACTATAGTCAAAACTGAAGACAATTCTATTATTCCAAAATTCAGCAGCAGGAATGGGGTGCTAGAAGTTCCTCCCTTGCATATCACTCAAACCATGGAAGCAACGTGGCGAAATTTTATTGCTTGGGAGCTTCACACTACCAGGTGGAAAAAAAGTGTTGGAAGAGATTTGTTCACTGTTCGGGCGTTGCTCTACAATGATTTGATATGCTGTGCAAGCGACGTTCAACTGCTTAAAAACAAGGGAATCATCGTAGATGAGTTGGGTATGAGTAATCACCATCTCATGGATCTTCTTCGTTCCATCACAAATGGAGTTGACCGTGCTCTTGTTGATTCAACTTACTGGAACATGATTCATGCCCTCAATACCTATAATGCAACAAATTGTGTCATAGGCTTTCCCATAATTGTGTGGCATTATTTGAGCCGATTTTCAGAATGGCTTTACGGTCTGAACAAGTTTTTAAGGCGCGGTTACAACTTTGCTGCTGCGTTGATAACTCTTCTCACTGCCATCCAGACTTGTTATGCAATACTCAGCTATCATTATCCAAAGAAGAATTAGTTTTTCTTTATCCAATTTATGTTATTTAAATGATTTTCCATTGCTTTCAGAATATTTACTTGCATTGTATTAATTTCTACAAGGCAAACTTACCTTCTTTGTTTGAGTTTTGGATTCCACGTTTGTCCTCTTTCTCTTTATGATAAATTTTTGTGTGGTTTCCCAATTTGCTGTTCTTCTCATTGGATAATTTGTTATCATTTCAAACTTTCAATCCATATATCTAAGCAATATAAATAATGTTGCAAGCAAAGAACCATTTGAAATGAAGTCATATTTCATCAGCTAAGTGAAAATTTGTCAATTATATTTTGTTGTGGTGTCTATGTAATCATACTATTTCATTGTTCAACATTTAATTATTTTTTCATAATTTTTATTGTAATTTATATTATACATATATCAAGTATACCACGATATATAATTATTTATCATTGTCACATGGTTGGACATTATAACATGTGACATAACATATGCCATGATGACATGACACATGGCATGACAACATGACACGTGGCACGACAATATGACATATGGCATGACACGTGTCAAATTTGTTAAGTATTTAAACGAAAGATACGGAAAATCAAACATTGAGATATATTTTAAAGATATGAAACTAAATTGATTCAATTAATTAAAGTGAGACTAAATTGACACTAATAAATAATATAAGGAAAGAAAAATGTATTTTTACCTCAAAAAATATTTTAAAAATGATGAAATATAGTGATAAAAAAAAAAGACAACAATAATAACACCAAAGGATTTGATCAACGTGGCACATGCATGAACCATTATGAAAAAATGAAAAATCTTAAAAAAAATGAAGAAAAAAATATTGTTATTTATCTATTTTTTATGTTTGGTTTTTCATTTTTTAAAAAAAATCTGATAAATAAATGAAATTTATTTTTAAAAAATTGAAAAAATGCGTAAGATTTATTTAATAAATATAGTAAAAAATTTAAAATAAACCTCTTTCATTTTTTTAAATATTACATATTTATAAAATTAATCACTATTTTTCTTTTCAATTTTTTTGTTTTTTTTCAATTATGTTTCTTTTGGGTTGCTGGCAGGAATAGAGAAACCCAAATTTTTTACTAAAATAGAATTTTTTTAAAAAAATTTACCAAAACAGCACCTGTACCAATTTATTTACCCAAGTAACACATTTTATTATTCATACTCAGAATTCAATTCTTGGGGAACCGAATTCTGAACTTCAAAATTTTTTTGTTCTCAGAATTCGTAGTGTTTTAAATTTTTTTTTTTTCAGTTTGTAGTCCAGGTTGCGCGTTGATTTTGCAACTAGAACAGCCCGTTCTGCAAGCAGAATGACCCATTCTGGTTGCACGCATAGTCTATTATTTTTTGAAACTGGAACGTCCAAGCAGAACGGCTCGTTCTGATCCATTCGTCATGTGTATTTTTTTTGCTCTGGAACGACCCGTTCTGAAAGTAGAACGAGTCGTTCTTCATGGAGAACGGGCCGTTCTGCAAGGAGAACGGGCCGTTCTGCAAGGAGAACGGGCTGTTCTGCAAGGAGAACGGGTCGTGTTACAAGGAGAACGGGTGGTGCTGCAAGGAGAACGGGCCGATCTGAATCCATTTTTATCCCCCATGCTCAGATCCAAAATGCAAAAAAAAAATTATAATAAAAATTTAACATCTCAGAATTCAGTTCACCGAGTGTGAACAGTAAAAGGTGCTACTTAGGTAAATAAATTGGTACAGGTGTTATTTTGGTAAAAAAAAAATTTAAAAATTCTATTTTAGTAAAAAATTCGCGAAACCCTCACCACCCCGTTTCCCCCTCCCATTTTCTGTGTTTTCCTTTATTTATTTATTTATTGGTTTCATTTTTTATTTTTAAAACTAGATAAATAAAAAAATTTAATTTAATAAATTAAAAAATTTAAGATTTATTTAATAAATATACCAAAATTTTAAAAATAAATGCCCTCATTTTTTTTAATATTACATATTTAGAAAAATAAACTTAACTAATAAAAAAATATACAATTTATTTAAAAAATATTTTTTAAAATAAAAAATAAAAAATAAAAAAAAAGTGGTGTCATGGGCTAGAGAGACAAAAAAAAATGCAAGTCACTATGACCTATGACAACTTAAAAAAAAAATCAACTCTACACATAATTGCATTTTACAAGTCACTATATGATTTATGATATAATAATTATAAGAAGAAGTATATAAAATTAATTTTTTTCTCACATGTAATGGGTGTCATTATGATCCATAGCGACACCAACAACAACATCTTCAAATGTGTAAATGGTTTCAAAGTAACTTTATTTACATAATTTATTTTAAAAAGTGACTCTCAATGGTCAAAAAACTAAGAAAGTGAAAGTGCATTTGGAGCAAGAACTGCTAGTGGCAAAACTTGTGTCTAAGAAGTGGCAAAACAAAATTAAGCTCGAGAGAAAAACCTATGAGAAAAACTCTCTTTAGTGCTGAGCTCTAAATCTTAAACCTCTTTTTATTTGGAGGCTTTAAGCTCCTTTATTAATGGGATCAAAATAAATGACTATTATTAATTAGAAGTGGGCTAAGTTAATTCAAGGTCATTAGTCAAATTGATATGTCTCCTCACTAGATAATGTGAAAGGTATAGGTTTTCCTTACTCTTTCTCTTCTCCTTTCTCCTTCTTTCTTAAAATAAGTTGTAGAAGTCAAGATTATCAAATTCAAGAATTTATGTAAACTTTTCATAAACTCTTACGAGTTTACTTATTATAAAAATAACATTAAAAAGTCTATTAAAGACATATATATATATATATATATATAATATAATATTTTTAATACAACAAGAATTCAACACTTTAACTCCATAAAAATGCAAAGTTCTAAACTACAATAATAAAGTGTTATAATACATTAATTAATACTAAATAGGATTAAACTACATAAATAATCAAATTATATATATAATTTCAGAAAAACATAGCTCCTAACAAAAAAATATTTCATAAAGGAGTTGATTTTTTTCAAATAATGAGTCATAGTAAAACACTAACACTATGGAGGCAATTTTATGTTTTTTTTTTGTTGTTAAAAATGAACAGGTATCGGTCTATTAAATTTTTGCATGGGAGATGCTCAAGAATAACAAAACTAGTTGTATCTTCTCGGATACCTTAGAGAATTAGGTTCAATAAAGAAATGCCTGAAGCAAATAAAACCAATGCCCTTCAGTTCCTTAAGCCCTATAATTAATAAGTAGAAATTCAAATGTTCACTTGCTCGTGCATCGAAGTTTAAGTCTACACTATGAACATTTGAAAAATAGATGTAGCTTGTAACAATTGAACGAGATTGTCAATTGATAGTTCAAGGTTCCGTACAAACAATCCTCGTGACACAAACATGCTCATGTTCTCTCCTATAATAAAGCTCATAAAATATCCGGAGGCACACTTCTATTGTATCAGAACACTAGAGGCACAGAGACAATGTACTACTATACTACAAACTTTCTTCATTACCACATCAACTAGAGAACATGGTATCACATG